TTTGACTGGTGTTGTGGAGTAAAAAGGTTATAATGTTCTCTTTTGTTGGACAACAGGTTTAGAAATGTGAATACAAGGGAGGTTTAGCTTTAGGCATTTTAATTTAAGCATGTTTAGCGCGCTCCTCAGATGCTCTCATTTCCCGAGTTGTGCTTTTAAGTCGGAATGTGAAAACAACATGGACACTCACGTTACTAAAAAGATTTGTTGGACTTGTATTATTAGAGCTTTCCGACTTGAGTTCACGTGCATTTTCTCAGTCGGGAAATTATTTTTCAAATGCGGTGCTGGTGATGATGCTTCTTACATCCGTTTCGGAGAACCAGAGGATAAATGTTTAAATCGATCGCTCAGGCATGGCACCGAAATGAGGCACCGAAATCTGCGTTCTGATTCGGTTCTAGTACATACCGGTTACATAGGTACCGGTGCCATATTGGTACCGGGTTTCGGTACCCAACCCTAGTTTTAACCCATTCGGTGAAATTGTCAGACGATCCCATGGGTGCAATAGCGCGTCAATGCTTTCTCCGGTTTAAATTTGCAGCAACAATACACCTAGGCAGTTTTGAACTCCTATTTTTATGTCAATATAAAGTGGATGCATATTGTTAAAACTAATCGTGGTATTGATATCTTTGTAGGACTATTTACTGTATAGATCAGTGGTAAGGGAAAGCAATTCTAAAGAAAATTCGTTCTTCGTTCGAAAATTTGCGTTCTTCTGACCGCATTTGCTTGCCTGTATATAGTTTGCATAATAATGAGATCTGAGGTCTTATATCACTGTATTAGTTCACTGAGGCACGTTACGCGTTGTTGGGGAATCCTGGAGTGTGACATATGAGGGGGAACCGCAGTATTAACGGGAAACCAACCCCAGCCGACAGATCACCACAGACATAAAAGTAAGATCCACAAGTAATTTATTGAAATGGAATAAAAGAATTAAATAAAGAAGCCATAGCTTCAGGGTATCCCAAGGCCAAAACAACAAACAAAATAACATGCAAATAAAACATAAATAAATGTCCTAACAAAAGAAACAAAAATACAATAAGCTTCCCTAACTCCCCAAGATAAACAAATCGCAAACAAGGTCAAACTAAATGGCAGGACACCCCTATGCTCCTAAAGCGCAGGCAGTAACTTAATTAAATTACTTCACAACAGAAATATAAACCATTTACGAAAACAAGTGGTTTGGAATCTGTTGACGGGAGAAGGAATCCGGAGCTCCTCACGCCAGAAGGCCAACGCCAGAATGAGTTCGCCATCTTCCAAGAGCGCCGCCCTTTTAAGACGGAGCAACCGCAGGTTCAGCCAATCATAACTTCTACTTAGCGCTTGCTCCATTTCTGCAGATCAGTTTTTGTGAATGAATGACTTGATCCACCTGTTGCTTTGGTCTTCATAAAAAGCCGCTTGCGCCACCTGCTGGTGAGCGACTGACAGCAGCTGGAGATCATGCATTGGTGCTCTACTGCTATTCCTGCAGCTCCCGGATGTGCAATGCCGAATTTTCTGTCGAATTTTAACCACTGAATTTGTGGAAGCGAATTTGGAAAGTGAAATTTTTTGTTTCAAAGACATATGGCATTATTTTTCTTCCATACAAATATCCATGTTTGATTAGTGCACACTGAATATTTCTTCTGCAATAAAAAACCATGGTAAATCATTATCTTAAGGCACAGTTTCTATAGTCTATTTTTGTTGTAAAAGAGCTCTGCCGCTGCCGTTGCCCGTGGAAACTTTTATGACTTGTGTCAGTACTGGTAAGAAATTGTTTGCATTTTAAAGTCGACCAGTGGAAACTTGTACTAGACAAACATTGCATGTTAAACCTCAGGCCATATGAATGCCACAAAAGACGTCCATTAAGGGACCTGCTAAAGGTCCCTCAGCACTCGCTGAGCACACGAAACACTTATAGTGTGACATTTACAAACACAATGTTTGTATTCTACAATCATCACAGAAAGATTAACTGTCTAAATATCTAATAATTAAAATAAAAAATTTAATTTACAAAAATAAAAAATTGTTCAACCAAAAATGAAAATTCTGTGATCAACTCGCCTAATGTCACTCAAAATACTCATGTTTGTACTTTGGAAATAATCAAAAAGAGCTATTTTGCTAAATGTACAGGCTGCTCTTTTCCATTTAATGGACGTGAACAGAGAAGTAGCCCATAAAATTTGTGAGAGTTACATTTAAAGCTTTGTGTCAAAAACTGACCTTAAATTTAAGTCATTAATGGCAGAAACATCTTTAATTCTATACTTGTATGTATCGTTACCACTTCCATTGTATGCACAAATGCACAAAGACAAATGATAAATCAGTATGGAGTTCCACAGAACAAAAACATGTTTTGAGCAACATAAGGGTTATTACATAGACTTTAAAAAAAAAAATGACTGACCAATATGGGTTTTTCCAGTGGCTGATGTAGATACTAAAGTCCAGAGCAACCGACAGCCAATGTATAACATAATTTACCACCAGCAATTGAGATGAAGACAAAATTCCTCTAATGAAAACTTATTAACTAACACAGCTGTCAGCAGATTGAAATCAACCAAGCAGACATCAACAACTGATGCAAATAATCTAAAAATGCCCATTTACCGGCAGATCACTTGGACTAAAAAACTGCACTTTTTTTGTGTCTAATCAATCCCTCTAATGTCATTGTCAAGCGGTAAAGGTGTAGGTACAATCATTGCAAACCGAATGCTTAGATATCACCTAGACTTAAAAATAGACCAACACAGCCCAGAATTGTTTTTAGGCATTTTCCCACCTTGTTGTCTTTGACATAAAGTGCTAGCATCTCCTCTCGGCCATAACGGTACTCGGCCAACTTGTACTTTGGCATAGCAGGAGAGGCAGGAGGGGAAGACACACTGCCTCCACTGGAAAGTGCACGGAGCCTGAGAGAGAGAGATAAAAATCAGATCAAAAGAGATACAGCAGCAACAATGTGAAAGCTTCATTGAGAAATGCTCTAATTCTGGCTACCATTCAAGGACAGCCCTGTCAATGTCGACTCTACATCCTCCTTTATTTAGAATCTCTCACTCCCCTTTTCCAAGGAAATGGTGCTGAAGCGTGGGCTGATGCTTGGGTAGGGGAAACACTCTTAAGAACTAAAAAAGCTAGAAGTTATGCCCAATAAATCCATATCAATCAATTTACATGTACACTACTGTTCAAGTTTCTATTCATCAAAGAATCCTGAAAAAAGTTATTCTCCACAAAAATATTTAGCAGTACAACTGTTAAAGGGGTCATATGATGCTTTTTTAAAGATCATTATTTTGTGTATTTGGTGTAACAGAATATGTTGACATGCTTTAATGTTCAAAAAACACATTATTTTTCAAATACTGTACATTATTGTAGGTCCTCTACGCCCCGCCTCTCTCAAACGCTTCGTTTTCTACAAAGCCCCCTCCTT